TACCCCTCGAGATTTATATTTTCATAACAATTTGTCCCTTAATTTGTTATGCAAATAGTACCTTCAAGGGGTATTTATAATTTCTCAAACCTCAAGAGGTATCTGTAATTTTGCTAAATCTCGAGGGGTATATATAATTTGCCCTAAAATTTTAGATTTATAGGCTGTAGTGATTAATTTTTTCTAAACTTTTTAGTAGCTTATTATCATCAGAATAATGTGAGTGTTTGAGAAGTTGTTATTTTAATAAGTTATTTTAGTAGGTTAAAATTTTTGTATTTGAGAAGATGATTATATTTTTTTATAGTTTAATGTAATATTTGTAAGAAAAAAAATGATATAATTATAAATTTAATGTCATATTTTATCTTATTAATTATTGGGTAAATTACACTTACACACCCTGAGATTTGAGTTTAATACAAATCATCCCTGACGTTTGAGAAATTACACTAACTCCCTTATCATTGTAATTATTTAGACGAAATGAAGACATTGAACTCATACACTCTTTTGTTTTTTGCTTCGCTTTACTTTCTTTTTTTTTTTCCTTTTTTCTTTACTTTTTAAAAAAAAATATAATTTCCTCTATTTTTTTTACTGGGAGTTGTTACATTTTATATAAATAGGGATTTGTGAAATGAGACTATTAACTATAAGGCTAAAAATATAATTTTCAAGTCAGAGAGTGGATATCAACTAGATCAAATCTCAAGGAATGTCAATATAATTTATTCTTAATTATCTTAATTTATTTTATTTTTTTAAAAATTTTTTGACAATCGGTGACAAAAATCTTTGAACCGACCAACATTTTTGGATTATTTTTGAAAAGATGTTAAAAATTACATTTTAGTTAAAAGTTGATTAAAATTTACTTTTTGTGAGGGAGGGAAGTCAGTTATAAATAGCCCTTTGCGTTCAACATTTGTGAGCAACTGTAGAGCTGAGCTGGGGAGTGAGAGACCAGAGTGAGGCTGAGAGAAGAAGAGAAAGCAAAAGCAAAAGCAATAGAAAAATGTCAAGCAACACGAAAGCAGGAGGAGATGGACAGGTAGTGTGCGTTACAGGAGGCAGCGGCTTCATCGGCTCCTGGCTCGTCCGCCTCCTCCTCGACCGCGGCTACACCGTTCACGCCACCGTCAAGGATCTCAGTCTCTCTCTCTCTCTCTCTCCCTTCAATCCCTTTTCCTAACAAAAAATAAATAAAATAAAACTGGTTGTTTCGATTGTGTTTTTGTAGAGGATGAGAAAGAAACGAAGCATCTAGAAGCCCTAGAAGGAGCAGAATCGCGTCTCCGCCTCTTTCAGATCGATCTCCTCGATTACGACTCCATCGTCGCCGCCGTCACTGGCTCCTCCGGCGTCTTCCATCTCGCTTCCCCTTGCATCATCGATCAAGTTAAAGATCCCGAGGTCCGTATAATGCATACATATCTATAATTGTTTTCGTTTGATTATCATGTCGATGTGCTATATGTATCTCTCTCTGCTTGGGTTTGATAACAGAGGGAGCTATTGGAACCGGCAATTAAGGGGACACTCAACGTGCTCACGGCGGCCAAGGAATTGGGGGTTCGGCGGGTGGTGGTGACCTCGTCTATATCGGCTATCACCCCGAGCCCTAACTGGCCGGCCGACAAGGCCAAGAACGAGGATTGCTGGACTGATGTTGAATATTGCAAGCAGAATGGATTATGGTATCCACTTTCTAAAACACTAGCTGAGAAAGCAGCTTGGGAATTTGCTAAGGAAAAAGGTTTGGATGTGTAGAGGTCCGGCGGGCGGCCAAGGCCCCCCCCCCCCCCGCCGGTGAAACAGAATTACTAGTTTCTTAACCTTGCTTTGATACCATGCAAAAATTTATGTATTATTAATTGATGTGTATTGTTGTATTTGATTGATATATGTTGTTTAATTACAATTACAAGGATTCCTATTATATAGGAGTGTGTTTGGGAGTAGGTGAAGTGGAGGTGGTAGTGGTGTAGTGGGTTAGGTTTAGTGGAGTAGGTGAGGTGGTAGTGGTGGTAGGTTTATGGTAAATTCTAACACTTTGTTTGACGGTGCAAGACTTCTCAAAGAAGCTTAACAAATAAAAACAAATAGTGGATGGTGATAGTGGAGTAGTGGGTTAGGTTTAGTGGAGTAGGTGAGGTGGTAGTGGTGGTAGGTGATAGTAAATTCTAACAAATACCAACACACCAAATTTTATCGTAGCAGATAAATAATTCAAGATTGACATAAACTTAAACATCTAACTCATAAATCATAAACATTTAAAAATAACGACAAAATTGAAGAGTTGAACAGGATAAGCATCAAGATGTAGAAGGTGAAGGAGATTGAGGGGATGAAAAAGAATAATGACAATTGGTAGTCCAATCGAGGAGAAAGCTTCATCCAACCAAGATCTTTGTATAATTAGGGCTCAAAAGTGTTGGGTTGCAATGTATGTTTAGGGATTTAATCCCTTGTAGCCACGCGTAAACAAAAAAATAATGAGATTAAGTGAAATCAAGGGTTGTAATTATAATAAACAAACATTTAAAAAAAGCACACAAGTCGTGCGCATTGAGCCTAAGGCTAAAGTGCACGCTTCATGTGCCTTGATGGGCTTGTTTTACATCGCCTGGCTTGAGATGTTCTAAAGCACATTGACTGCCCCTTGATGAGCCTTGTGCCTAGGCATGTGCCTAGGCACACCTATAATAACACTTCTAACATATATAATAACAAAAAGTTTACAAATTAAAACAGAAAAACATTAGCTTGTGTAACATTTTTATAAGCAAAAGCTTGTATAAAATAATACTCAATTCAAACCTCATGTTATCTTTTCTTCTCAAAAGACTATCAACTTTTTTAAACCCCATGAAGTGGTTAAGTGAAACATTGACAGCAGTTAGATGGTTGTTTACCTTTTAAATTTTCAAAAAGTAGGCAAACACTAATTAAAGTAATGAATATCCAGTTCTCTTCTTTTCTTTTCTTTTCTTTTTTTCTCTCCCGATGTTTATGATCTTAATGTGTTATCTTACTGAACCGAACTTGCTATAGGGTAATGAAATTTTTCAGCAAGGCCCATCATTATGTGAGTGATGTAGTTGGTTTGAGGTTTCAACATCTACAATAAAAGGTGGACCCAAATAACACTAGGAAAAATCAGATTTTAAGTCCGGTAGTTGCAATTTCCACTAAACAACACTCAAATTCCCTAAAAGCTAGGGAAATATGAGGACAAGAAATTATAAAATCTGAAGTTTTATTTTCCAAAAATTCTCCTTCAAAACAGAGATTACAGTCCTAAGATTTGAGGAGATCTCTTCATAGTGAAGTACCTGAATAAACAAACTAATAAATAACTATAAACTGGCAGGTGGCTGACATGCTGAATAACAAATAACAAGTGGCATGACTATAACCACTCGTTACGACCAAGTGCCAAATGGCATACGTATTGCCACCTGAATGATATTGACAATTGAATTCTTCACAGAGGTCTACCATTTTGATACAAGAAGATATCCAAACCTACAACTAGTCTACAAGTACCAATTTTGTATAGTTCGGAAATTTTTATTTATGATTATAAATAAATTAAGCTTAGCAAATAACATATTAAAAAATAAGGTACATTACACTAACACCTCACACTCACAAGTTTTTGAAATTATAGTATGTCCCTTACTTTGCCTAACAATGTGCAAAAACACAACCATTGATAACATAGAGAAAGATGACACCATTGTCATAAAACTTTAAAATTATGGTTTTACTTTATCTAATGAATTTAATTAAAATGACTCAAATAAACTTTATGTACCCATAAATTTTTACTTTTTTTATCTTTTTAAATAACTCCTAATAACATTTTGTCGCATCATCCTCCTATATCAAAAAGAGTGAGGTCCACTACACCAAATCAAAACCTCACTCCCACCATCTTACACCTGGATGGCCACATAGTTCTCTGTTTGTTTGATATGGAGTACCAAATAGAAAGAAAAAGGAAATCATTGACCATGAATTTAATTATATATGATATGTGGATTTTCCACAAGGTTCGACATGTGGGTTTGATCTATGAGAATGTCGTGGGTTCATGTTGCTGGTAGTGATAGGTGCAGAGGAGGTGTGGCATGGTTGGCCAATGACAAAATTTGGTTTTATCTTTTGTTTGGCTACAAAGATAAGAGTACCAACAGAAACACAAAGGAAACATTAATTTGTAAAAGGACAAAACAATAAAATTACAACTGTCAGCCAACAAATATTGACGGGGCAATGTTATTTCATAAATCTGGGGGGTGTCCTTGCAATTGTTAGAAATCTTTGATGGTGTTAATGAAATTCACCCAAAAGAATATTTGATTGTAATACCAATTAACAAGACACATTCCATTTTTTTGGTTGATAGAATGACCTATACATTACCCTGCAAATTCGGTTACTCTCTCTAGTTATAGCAAGTAGTTCTCTTTAAAATTCACTTGAATACCTGTATAACTAAATTGCATTTATCTACCTCCATTACTTTTTTTTGGTTGATAGAATAACCTATACCTTACCCTGCGAAATTGGTTCTTCTCTCTGATTATACCAAGTAGTTCTCTTTAAAATTCACTTGAATACCTGTATAACCAAATTGCATTTATCTACCTTTCAAAAATTACAGCTTTGGCCACCAAATCACATTTGTGTTAAAGTCAGCACAAAGATTGTCCAATGATCTAACATAATGCATTTTATATGAGGCCACAATGCCAAATTGAACAATGAGATATCTACCATGCTTTGGAGTTACAGAATTCACCCCAAACATTCAAAGCAAAAAGAATCTACTAAAGTAATATAAACTAATAATTACCTTGAAAGCAAAAGGTATTTTCCTGTAGGTAAAGCAAGAGAAAACCCCAAACTAAGACTTCGTTTGGGAAGTGGGTTGGCTTTTTGGCTATTTTAGCCTGGGGTTAAAAAACCTCGTTTGGGTTGGGCTTTTTGGCTTTTTTGACTTTTGTGGAAAAAAAATGAAATAATTATTATTTGGATGTGACATTTTGTGTATTGGCTTTTTAGCATAGTTTGCCTTTTTGTGGCTATTTGAGCCCGGTAACCTCATGCCAAACAAGGTAGATGGATGTAAATGTTCTACTACATGGAAAATAACTCTGATTAAATTATAATTAATCTTGCACCTTCGCTGTAGAATTATAGCTAACGCACTTGTAGACACTAAAATTTTGCATGTGCTTTAGTCACCATATAACATGTTCTTGACTAGGAAGATGGTCGAAGTCTTCAAATGGATGTGGGTCTCACCAAAATTATGGACCTTAACCTATTTTAAATTATGAGACAAACAGAAAAATGTCAATCCGTTTTGACAATTGGATCAAACAATTATTTCAACCCAAAGGCCTACAATTGTCAAAATTTGATGGAGGAATCATAATTTAAATTCAAATTCAAATAATTTCCAAAATAAGAGGCAAATTTCTTAAATCAAAATTAAATATTATTGTAATGGAATTTCCAAATTAACATTCCTTCAAGCCTATAAATAGAGGCCCCCATTAGGAAGAAGGGACCTTTTGGCTAAGATCTGGCAATATCTAAAGCATTCTCAAGACTGCCAAAATCTCTATTCAAAAAATTATCTCTAAAGTTCTTCAAAACTCAAGTGAAGGATTATCAAGCACTCACCTCACCTACTCCACTAAACCTAACCCACTACACCACTACCACCTCACCTACTCCACTAAACCTAACCCACTACACCACTACCACCTCACCTACTCCACTAAACCTAACCCACTACACCACTACCACCTCACCTACTCCACTAAACCTAACCCACTACACCACTACCACCTCACCTACTCCACTAAACCTAACCCACTACACCACTACCACCTCACCTACTCCACTAAACCTAACCCACTACACCACTACCACCTCACCTACTCCACTAAACCTAACCCACTACACCACTACCACCTCCTCTCCACCTACTACTCCACCTACTACATACCTACCTCCTTTAAATCTTCTATATATAGGACTCATTGTAAACACAAAATACAACAATCAATAATACAATCAATATCTATACAATTCTCTATTTCTCTTTATACATTAAATTTTTCTACATGGTATCAGAGCAGGTTTAGAACCTAGTATTTTCGCTTCTCCGGCGGGCGGCAACCTCACCTTAGCCGCCCGCCGGACCTCAACCTATTCCGCTGTCATCTCTATCAATACATATAGCTTCCAGTTCGCCGCCACCAGAGGCGACTTCTCTACATACAAAGATCAACCACCTTCTCAACCTTTTAGTTCTACTACTGTGACCCTCTCTATGATGGTTTTGGTGTCTCTGCAATGTGGGCTGTTCTTACTATTGTTGTTGTCTTTGACTTCTCTGTGGGTGCAACACTTGGAAGGGGTGTAAATAGGGGTTTTGCAACACTGCTTGCTGGTACTCTTGGCGTTGGAGCTCATCGAATTGCTAGTTTTTCTGGAGAAATATGTGAGCCCATACTACTTGGGCTTTTTCGTCTTCATACTAGCTGCAGTAGTGACATTCATAAGATTTTTTCCAAGAATGAAAGCAAGATACGATTATGGGCTGCTGATATTTATATTAACATTCTGTTTAATATCAGTATCTGGTTATAGAGATGATGAGGTGTTAGAGATGGCCCACAGGAGGCTATCCACCATACTCATCGGTGGTGCCAGCGCTGTGATTGTGTGTGTATGCATTTGTCCATATGTGGTGCTGGTGTTGTCAAGGGCTTCCAGCCATCTATCTATCAGGCAAATAATGGTGGGGCCAATTTTGTGGCACATGGTTAGAACCTTTTCAGAGGACTACAATGATTTGAATGTTGAGCCTTCGTTTGGAGAGACCAATCTCGACTTTGAAGGCAGAGAGAGGAGCACTAAGGAAAGCACACCCATTCTTCTTTTATTTATTTAATCACACTCACCAAGTTTGTTTCACTCTCATTATCACATCCATACACACCGGTATCATGTTGTCTTCAACTTTCTTTTATTTATCATTTTAAAATACACCCTTATCATGTTGTTCCCCACCTTCTTTACTTTATATATATATATATCTCTTTTTATTATATTCTATTACTCAAACTCTCCTCCATTTGATTTTAAAATCACTTATTTTTTATTTATTTTTTTCCAAATCACTTTTCCTTCTTTTTACATACCCCCACTTTATTTTTGAAACAATCACCTGAAACAATCACACTGATATTTTTCAGATAATCCATCTATAAATATTTTTTTGTCTATTTTCTTTCTCCCTTGTTTTCTTTCATTTTATTTTTATTTTTTCAACACAACACTCCCAAAATATATATATATATACCATATAGCTTTGCACACCAAACCATATTTTATTCATCTCAAGGATCAACTCCGATCACAATTTTAAAAAAAAAAAAAAAAAAAAACACAACACAACACCCACAGATTTGTTTTCTTTTCTGCAGACGGCCACCCACCAACCTCACTTCTTCGCCTATTCCACGGGTATTTTCTTCTTGCCTCCGTCCTGGGCGGTCCTTGACGGTGTTGCCTCCATGTTTCCCACTCCACTGGGCACGATCACCACTCCCTGCTCCTCCACTGCAGCATATGACGGACCTCCAAATCGGAACATAACGGTGGCTTTCCGCTTCAGCTCCTTATTTTCCGCCTTCAGCACACTTATTTCTGCCCGCGCATCCTTATACATGCGTTGGAGCAGAGCCAGTTGGGCGTTTAACTGCTGCACCTCATTTGTCCTACTCTGCAGCCGGTGCGACAAGTTTGTGACCGCAGTCATGGTTTCCACACATGACTTCAAAGTATACTGATTCACCTCAATATCTGATTGCGCTGCCATTCTTTGCTCTCAATATCAGTTTGCACCGCCATTTTTTGCTCCACCGACCGCATCGGAAAGTTCAACGGAGCAAAACCAGAGGCGCTTGGTTGCGGTTCACTGGCCACCGCACCAATTCTCTCTCTTGTTGACTCGTTGAGGTCGGGAAAGAGAGTGAGCAGACCACGGGAAGATGAGGCCAGATTCTGGGTAGCTGAACGGGAAGACGAGGCCATGTTATGGGTAACTGAGTGTTTCAGAGAAGGGTTGGTTACAGAGTGTTACAGAATATCTCTCTCAAGACAACGAAGAGTTTCTCAGAGGTTTTTAGCCAGTTTTTTGTCTTAGCCTCTGCCTCAGCCTCAGCATCCGTCTTGGTTAAATAGCCAAGGCAGACACGCGCATCGCGCGCCACTTGATGCCAGACGACAAAACGGGCGCGCAAGCCAATGTGGTGACGCGCCTCGCCATCATGTCCGGCACATCTTTTTATGACTTGGGCTCGCCTTTTGATGGCACGCCTTTTTATGGATTGGGCACGCCTTTTGATGGCATGCTTTTTGAAAGATTGGGCACACCTTTTGAGGGTGCGACTTTTTAAGGGTCCGACAAGACTCTGTAAACTGTCCCGACATTGATTCTGGTTAGCTTCTTCATGGGTCCGACAAGACTCTGTAAACTGTCCCAACATTGATTCCGGTTAGCTCCTTTATGGGTCCGACAAGACTCTGTAAACTGTCCCAACATTGATTCCGGTTAGCTCCTTTATGGGTCCGACAAGACTCTGTAAACTGTCCCGACATTGATTCCGGTTAGTTTCTACAAGGGTCCAGCAAGACTCCGTAAACTGTCTTCTACAACGGTCCGACATGACCCCATAAACTGTCTTCTACATCGGTCTGACACGAGCCAGTGTCTTCTACATCGGTCTGCCATAACCATACAGTCTTCTACAACGGTCTGACACGACCATACAGTGTCTCCTATCCATTTTTTATTTTTCAGATTATTTTCTTGTTTTGTTACTCTCTCCAAACTCAAGTTGGTTAGTTCCTATCCCCCTTGAGTTTGCGGGGGGCTGTTAAAATCTACCATCACCTACTCCACCTACTACACCTACCACCACCTACTACCACCTACTACACACCTACCACTACCACCTACTACCACCTACTCCACTACATCTCCTATATAAGGAGCCCCTTACCATTTGTAATTAATAACATACAATCAATCAATAATACAATTCTCTTTTTCTCTTTATACATTAAATTTCTACACAAATTTACAAACTCAATACAAATTTACCTCAAAATGCGACTTTGCAATGTCCATGAATCATTAATAAAGTCTGTGGTGACAGCCATGAATCCTTTCTTTTGATTGCTAGCAGTCCACATATCAGTTGTGATTGCCACCCTACTTTTGATATGCTCCACCAAACTGAATGTCTTCACCCTCTCATAATCATAAAATTTTGAAATATCACTCTTTATCGTATTTCGAGAAGGTACTTTCAACAATGGTTGAAGTGCTATTGAATATCGTTTAAAACCAACATGATCTACGATAGAGAGGGGATATTCATGCAATATTATTACATGTGACAACTCTTTCCTAGCAAAATCTTGATAAAAAATATAAAAATTCATTTTTGGACTCTTTCTATTAAAGTTGTTAGTTAAAACTTTTTGCCTCACACTTTTTTCCTAGTACAACTCTTAAAGTGATCATGCAAATGCCCAGTTCCATTTTTTGAATCACCTCCAAGATGCTTATTACAATAATTACATATTGCCTTCCACACCCCATTGACTTCTTGTTTCTTACAGTGTTCCCACACAACACTAGTTTTCCTTTTAGTTCCTCCACAAGTATTGGACTCTTCTTCTAAGTCAATAACATTTTGATTAGAGAGGGGAGACGGTGAGTTGGTAGCTGGCAATGATTGCTGTGATACCTCGCTCTCAAATGATACTTGAGAGTTAACTTTTAACATTTTTAACCTTTACAAAAATAACATGAAATGAATATCACAGAGAGGAGGATCCAACACCAATCTCACCCAGTTTGTGCAAATAAAATGTAGTGATTAGGTGTATAAGAATTTTAATCTTTCAGTGTCTCGAATTGCCAAGACAACCATTAGGTAATGGCAGTTTAATTGAAATGATCCTTTGACAGTCTATCTAGTCATCAACCTCATAAAATAAATCAGATTATTTTTAAACATAGATTAGATAATTTTTAAAATAACAATTCCCAAACACAGATCAGATTATTTTTAAAACAACAATCAGAACACAATCAAAACACCAACTCCCAATCAGAACAACAACCAGACCATATAATACAACAATTAGAGTGCCATTCTTTAAAATAAATCAGATTATTTTTATACATAGATCAGATAATTTTTAAAACAACAATTAGAACACCAATTCAGATCAATAATAAACAGATATACATTAATGATCTGTTTTGTAAACAGATAAACACAATCCCACTGTAAAATTTTTGCTTCATTTCTTTTTCTGTTTTCAAATTCATAATAAAATTCGCACTTTTTGACATATATATATATATATAATAAATAAATTTAGAGAAAAAAAAAAAACAAACAGAGGTTGAAGAAATTTAGAGAGAAAAAAAAAAACAAACAGAGGTTGAAGAAACAGTGAGATGAAATCCCTAGATCGCAAATGTATACACTCAGATATATATATATACATATATGTATGTAAACCCTACATCGAAATCCCGAGAGAGAGAGAGAGAGAGAGAGAGAGAGAGAGCAGCGAGGGAGGATCGGCAGTGAGGGAGGAGCGGCGTTAAGGGAGCAGAGAGAGCAACAGCCCCGTCGTGTGAGAGAGAGAGAGGGAGGCGAAACCCTAAACAGCAGCGGTGGTGAGGGAGGAGCAGTGGTGAGAGAAAGAGGGGGAGACCAAACCCTAAACAATACAGCGGCGAGGGAGAGGAGAGAGAGAGAGAGGAGCAGCGCCATGTGTGTGAGTGAGTGTGAGAGACTGAGTCGAGTGTGTCAAACCCTAAACAAACACATGCATATATATACCCAGGGACATAATGGTAATTTTACCTCAGGGCTAAACGAGGCCGGGCTGGGTCCGGGGCTTGGACACGTATCCCCGTCCCCCGGCCCACATATCATCGGGGATTAAGTTTTGAATACCATCCCCCGCCCGTCGGGGGTATTTTTCGGGGAATAACCGCTCAATTCAGGGTCGGGGGGTCGGGTCCCCGCCAGGTCGGGTTCAAATTGCCATCCCTACATATGAACAACTATTTTAGTCTCCTGGTCAGGATTCTGCAATGGCCTCATTGCTTTTGGCTCTACATTTTATATGCATCCTTTCCATAAAACTATTGCAATGCAAATGAGTAATTGCATTTAATATTTTGCCATAAGTCATGTAATGTCTGCAAAACCACCTTCAAAATGGATTTCTTATTTTGAGCAGTTTGTTTTGCTTATGAACCCTTTCTGAGTGTGCAAAAACATCTTCAAATTTACTAAACAAATACTGCTTCGATTATTTATTGTAAGCTTACCCATAGCTCTATGTTTGTCAAACTGTTTCCGCAAGTATTTTTGTGGCTAACTATGCTAGTAAGATTGACGAGTTTTGTATAGGATTTCAATTAATTCATGCACTATGCAGTTGTTGTTGATGAAGTATTTTGTGTTTAAACTCCATCAATTATTGCCTTTTGAAGGATCATGTATGTTAATACCACTTGACATATGCCTGACCACAGTACTGTTCATGGATGTATTGCTTTTTCAGATTTACTGATCTCAGTTCTAAAAATGCAGGGATTGGAGAGTATATCTTCAGGACAAACACGGGATGTCAACTGAAGGCATGAATCTAATGATTGATAGGTAATTTTTCTCTAACGCATCTTAATTATTTTGATATTTGTCACTCCTTGAGTAGATTTCAAAAGCAGCAGGTTATGTTTCATATCTTTGTCCTTTTGTGAATGAATTAACCTCACTTTGCTAGGCTGTCATGTACTGAAAGGTTCATTATTAGGGGGGTCTTTTTTTATGAATTTGGCGGTTGAATTTTTCCAATTTGTTTCTCATTTAGTTTCATCACACAATTTGTTGGGTTGGATAGGTACATCTCCATGCTCACATAAAAGAATGAGACTTGTTAAAAATGATGTAAAAAACATGATACACTCCCAAATCCCATGTTAAAAACTATGGAGTAAATTGGTTTCCAACTTTATAGTGGATACTCAAATATGTAATCTCTCTCTCTCTCTCTCTCTCTCTCTAGTTTTGAAGAGCTGAGAATTTAGCTGTGATTAAAACAGCCAATAAAACCATGTCATTTACTTTTACAGGAAAACATGGAAAAGAATTCATAATTTGAGTTTTTTGCGTTATTAGTGCAGGATATAAGTTTTCCTTTCCTGCTATTTGTAGACCATCAAATTGAGCATGGTGGCATCAGTGAAATGGCTTTCATTAAACACATAAAATTAACAATAAGCATCTACATTCAGGTTTGTTGTGCTTAATTGAATCTGAACTTGCATTGACTTTAGAGGTTTTGGATCAAATGACAAGGCACAGGCACTTTGGAAATGTGTGGTTCTGTGGGTCTTATAGGGAAGAGAAGATGATATTGAAAGAATGTGGGAAAATATGTTTTTTGGTTTCTTTTGGGTGCCAATAGCTCCTCCTTTTAAAGGGTTCTCTCTCTCTCTCTCTCTCTCTCTCGCTCTCTCTCATAGGGGTTGGAGAGCCATTTGTAGAATGTGAGTACGTATTTTCCTTTCTTTTATTGTTTTTTCCTTGGACTTCTGCCTACTTCCTTTTGTACTTTATCTTTTTTTCTTTTTAATGAAAATTTACTTTTTGCTGATTAAAAAAAAATGTCATTTGGAAAAATCGTTATGCTTTAATTCGAGTCTTTATTATACAACACATGAAGAATGCTAATTTATGATGTCTAGTTAGTATAATAGAACACAAATAAAAGATTGTGAAACTACATATGTGAAGGAATGTGTACCCTTTGATAGACCCTCAAAATTTTTTTAGGGGCATCGGCAAGTCTGCTCGGCAAGGGAGAATCGATGCCTACGCTGCCGTGGTATGTGTTATTTTATCATATATACATACATATTTATGTTTGTATTTTTATTTTTGTTGTTTTTTAGCTTTTATTTTTGGCTTCTAACGTATCACCCTTAATTTGTGTAAAAGGATAATTCTAAATGCAGTCCTAATTATTTATGCTTGTTATGAGTTCTATCCATAGCGCTGCTTATTGATCTTGTGAAGTACAAGTATGAAAAGTAAAGTGATGCCGTATCATTTTTGAATTACAACAGCTTTTCTTTTCTTTTCTCGCATTTTTCTGGTTACAGATGGTGCTGGAGAGATATTTTTCCTTGTCCGGCCATGAAATTGAACTTGTTCTACCCAAACAGTTGGAACTCCAGGAAAAACTTTGTATCGGTCTGCCTACAGATGTGGATTTTCTAATAGATGAGTTTGATAGTTGACCATTCATTTTCCAATGCTAGTGGTTAGATGCAGGGTCCTCTATCAATATTGGCCCTTTTGTTGGCTAACATGGCAGAATTCAAAGGATGAATTCAAATTCTATGTCCCTAAAGTTGGCTTTTGAGTACCATTTATATTTTTAACGACTTTATTGTAACATCAATCTTTGTATAGTTTGTTAATGCCCAGTTTTTGCTACGTTCCTCTTGTTCTGTTTGATGCTTTTCACATCCTTGTTACATCAAAACGGCCTTTCTTCCAAGCCTCGAAAATGATTGGGAGCTAGCATATAACATTATAAGAAAAGCAAAGCACTTTCAGTGACCATTATTGGTGACTGAGAAAATTCCATCACTGAGAAGGTTAGCTTTTGGCGACTGAAATACATCTTGTCACAGAAAGTCCAATATGTGGCAACCAAATTAAAGCTTTAGTCAGCAAAGGCTTGGTGCTAAGTTCCCCAAGTTCTGCTGCCATAATGAGGGAATTGTGTCCTCGTCCTCGATGAAACAGTAACCTATGGCAACTAATAGTTTGTCTCATAGTGACACCCTACGAACAATGACCAGTAATATTTGCCGCCAAATGACTATTTTTATTTCAGCAGTAATGAAATTTTTTGGTGCATTTTGAGAACATTTTGGCGACCAATGCTTAATTGTTGCAGAAGGTTGTTCCTATAGAAGGATGTCGTTAATTTTCCAAATTAATTCAGGCGACCAAGTGTTTGTCACAGAAGGCTTAACCTATGCACAACCCCTCTCTCTCTGTCTCTCTCTCTCTCTCCATTGATTACAGCACACATGATCACCACCAATTCAAAACCCAGTAGAGCACTATCCAGTGCCACTGCCTTATTGACTGTCCACCGTCACTCAACCATATCAACCATCCCCTGTTGCCCCGCCATGGATGAGGTAATTTTGTGAAATTTTCTATTTGACTCTCGATTTCTGTATCTCCTTTTTAATTTTAAAACCCTAAAACCTATTTTTATCTCAGGTCCTCACCCCTTCGCTACCACACTACCGTCAGCCATCATCGTTGTTGCAATATCAGGTACTCTCTCTCTCACATTCATTTTGAAACCTGAAATGCTAAGATTTATTTTTGGTGTTAAAACCCTAACATCTGGAGTGAATTGCTGGGTAATTTTGTTAGAGCACTGATCTTTGGAGTTGTCCCCTTACTAATCTTGATCTTTTCTTTACCGACTTAACCTATTCACAAATTGTCATATACCTGCTTTCTATGATGTAATTACTACAATTAATTATTATGTCTCTTTTATAGTTATTATCTGTGTATGGCCCTCATTATTTCACCAATGACAATTAGTTGATTTGGTTCAGAAGAAAATTTGACCATGGCAACTACGCCCTATGGGCACATATAGCTCATACACTAGCCTTTGACCATAACTGTTGTGCCCACTCCCAATGTCATCCCAATCACCTCTATCAAAACAGCCTAAACTTAGCCTAGCCAATCCAAAATTTAACATGTATGTTAATTACTTACAAGAAACAACATTATTCATTTAGCAATAGCCTCTTGGTGCCATAAAAGAAACATATTAACTGGAAATTGCTCATGATGGGCTCAGTAGTTATCTATTGCAAATGTCAATACCTAACATTATTGTGACTATTCATTCAACTTTTCACTTTAATTAAATTGGAAAATTTGAAAGGCAAAAACATTATCCCTACTGTTGGCATAAATGCTCAGGAGTAGTGAGATACTGTTCGATCCACACCATTCAAATGTATTCTCAAACTCAGTTCAAAATTCTCTTCTTCTTTGAAGATGAATTCAAACGAGTGGTGGGTTCTTACTCTAGTTAAGTTGAGATTTGATTGTCACAACAAAGAATATTAGATTGCAATGGGAGTCGAATGCATTGTCCTGTTGTTCTTAGCAATTATTTGGACCTCCTACATGGCTTTCACACAATTGTGATGTGAAATCCATCCCGGTTGTCAAATTAGGAAGTATTGTTCATGCATACATATACATATATACCCGTCGACCCCTTTGAGAATCTTCGTTGGAGATGAAACTCTCCTTGGATTGCCCAGTTTGGAATGCACTAATCTATATTGTAGCTTTTCCACTTAAATGTGTTTCATCTCATGGAGATTTATTGTCTCAACTCCTTGTTCTTTAGGTGCATACTAAGTTGGATGTAGCAATATACTCGATCTATGTTTTGTGCTAGGAGCTATGTTACATGGATTCGGTAAGAGAGTCGGATTTGGGTATGTGTCCAGAAGTTGGATTCGCATCTAGCTCTCAAGCACGTCCATTCTAGTTTGGCCAGAGCCATCAGGGCTATGGGCCATCGAGCTAGGTAGTATTGGCCCAAAGTCATAGAGTTGTTCTTGTTGTCTTAGAGCAAATTGTTCAGCAACCTTTCCTGGAAGGGGCAGTTGTCCATTAGGATTACCAGCAGGGAGGCCAACATGGTCGTGTGTATACTGGGACCACCGTCGTTCCTCCACCCTAGCCTAATGCTTCAGCTGGACCTTCTATGGTCCGAGGTACATCTTCTGTACTTCTTGCGTTATTAGAGTATTATATCTATGCATTTCATATCATCCATAGTGTACTGCTTGCATTTATGCTGAGTTAGTAAGTAGAATGATTAGAATTGGCCTCATTCTCGAAACATTGGTCATAAAACATTGGTCATAATTAGGATTAAGCTTATTCAGCATCACCGATTAGTGGGTAGCCCTCATGAGAATGAGAGTTGAGGTTCACTCTCGGTCTTCTAACCAGTGTTATTAAAGGCGATAGGTGCACCAAGGCGTCAAGGTCTCCTGGGGCCTAGGCTCAAGGCACAAGGTGAGGTGCAGGCTTTCCCGAAGTGAGGCGCACCTGTACAGGAAAAAATATATAATTTAATGTAAGTAAATAATTTAGGGTTCAACATAAACAAAATGAAATGTTATACGTTTAGTGTTTTTTGGAGATTAGGAATTAGGGTTAATTTTTCTTCTATCATTGATTTGGGGTTGAATGTCCAATGTATTGACATTTGTAATAAGAGTAGGAATCTTCTGTAGCTGCACCATATTAAATCAATGCTCATATTTTAAACAAAACCAATTAAAGTAATAATAAAAAAGCCCTTAAGACGCAAGCCTTGGGCCAATCGTCTTACCACAGTCATTTGGCTTGCAACACTACAGGGCTCAAACCTTGGGCCTGGATGGGACTTGGGCCTATGAGCAAGGTTTGTCTATGCTAACTTATTTAGTGTTCTAAGCCAAATGACTGTGATAAGACACAATCCTATTTGGCTTGGAATACTACAAGGCACAATCCTATTAAAATAGAATTTAATTGAGTGTTGAGAAAGGCAGTGCAACAAGTGTCTCGATTTGCGTGCATCTAGGCCAGGACTGACATGAAATTTGAGAGATGGATTCTTTAAGCCTGATAATTATTAATTTTGTGTTATTTATGTGTATTTTATTTATTTTAGTTGACTTGCCGAATTTCGTGAGATTGTAGTACAGGAAGTGTATAAATTGTGTAGTTTACACAAAAATTGAGTTATTTAGAAAATGGGAACAAGGGAGACTGTAAGTACAAATACAGCATTACATAGAAAATCCTTCTATTTAGCAATAAAACCAGCCCTCTCTTTTCCATAGGATTTTTATGGTTCGGTTTGGTTCCAAATTTCATGGAACCGTAAGTACTGGTTTGGTCTTGGTTGCTCCTAAACTGAATCAATCCGAACCATGCTTTTCCCCTACTGTTCATGAAGTCCAAGGGTTAAATAACTAATTCTAAATAACAAATCTAGTAGTCAGTTTTTATGAAAAAATCTTTATTTTATATACACATTGTTTCTATATTCATATTTTTGGGACTCATAATAAATTTTTTGGGTGCATATCTCGTTGTTTTACTTATTTATTTTAAAATATGTACTTTAGTTTAATTTGAGTTTGAATTGTAATTTTATGAATTTGCTTTTTGGTGTTGGGGAAGTACTTGTAGGTGGTTTCTTTTGTACAAATTTTGGTGTTATGCCTTTTATATAACTAATATAGGATTAAAACTTTGCAGATATGTTTTCTCAAGGTTTAAATATTGATTTGCCATCAATTATTGTGTGCCAATTTATTTTGTTTTAACATTTCAAAAAAGAGTTATTCATGTTGTTATCTAGATGTCTATGCTTATTTATTATTTTTATGTTTTTTTATTAATTTAATTTATTGTCTCTAGTAGGGGTGAGCATGGTTCAAATTAGTTGGGTTTAGGAGAAACCATTTTAGATGGAACCAAACTATTACTTACCGTTCCATGAAATTTGGAACCAAACTAAACCATGAAAATCTAGGAACCAATCCAGACCAAACCACTAAAATGCGGTTCGGTTCGGTTCGGAACGATGGTTTTTAGAAATATTGTTATCATTTATAATATGATCACAAAATATTGTTCACAACCTAAAAATTGTTTGATAAATATTTAGAATTAGTTCTACTGCTATATACAATAACACAGTTGTAAAAAGCGGCACTTACCAATCAGTCATATTAACTAATTTTTTTTACCTACAGATCTTGATTGATAAATTTATCATTGTAAATTTATTGATAAAAACAAGAGAGACTAATAAATTTATCCAATAGAATTTAATGGGTAATAAGTTTCAAAAGTAGGACTTATTGGTAATTTACCCTTGTAAAAGTAGTGAGATATAACTTAGGTATATATATTTAATACTAGTAAGATATTTGAGTGTTTACGGTAGTTAACAAATTATATATATATATATATATATATTTAAACAGTCTGGTTCGGTTCTAAACGGATTTGTAACTATAAAACCACGAACTAATCGATGAAGTACGGTTTGCCTATTTTAAAAACCAAGCCAAACCGTGCAGTGAGAAAACCAAACCAAACTGAGCAGTTTGGTTTGGATCGGATTGGTTTTCGGTTTTTTCAATTTTTTTTACTCTAGTCTCTAGCCCCGTGGGACATTTGATTTGGAGTTTTTTGAAGGAGTGCATATTTCCAATAGCATAAATTTATACAAAGGGACACTTTCATCATCTTCATCCAAACAATAAGGATGTCCGTTATTGGTATCGATTTGGAATGGGGCACACTAAACCCCCGTTTGCTTAGAATGCAAGGGAAGTCAACCTGCTTAGTAGATAGAAAATTATTACTATTTACTGAAGTAGTGGATCAAATACTAGAGGACTGCATTGATTATCTCAATCGTTTATCCCCTTCTTTTAGGGACATTCTATGGTGAGTGCATCTCTCCCCACTTATTTTTGTTATTAATTTTACAAAATGTTCATTAATTTACTTTTTATTTTCTATCTTAGGGATATTAGTTACTTTTTGTTTTCTATTATAGGGATATATTGCACGGGATGATATATTTTTGTCAAACACTAAAACGTGCACATGGTGACATAACCATTTATGTCATTGATGGGAAAGTGAAATTGGCTAACGTAGTCAATTGAACATTTAAGCCATCTTTTGCTCATGATATTAACAGTTTTTGCAACATGGTAGAGTCCTTAACTTTTGTTTCCATTTGAGTTGCATTATCTTATTTCAAACTTGAACAAAACAAATGAGTAAGTTTTGTGTTTGTCGCATATTTACCTATTTATATTATTCTTGTTTGATTTTAATATGTGATGGACTCTTTTCTTTGCTTTTTGGTGTACAAATTGCTCGACTCTATTAATCATATTGTTTTATTGAGTGCACATGAAAGAGGCAACTATAAGCATTGGACATGGGCAACACTATCTTATTTGAAAGATAAGATGTGATTGAATTATGAGATGAATGCAATATTCAATACAATGAAAAAGGGAGTTGGAAGATCAAGATTTGTTTGGATTACAGAAGTCACAGAAGAATCTTATTTCTCAATGTTGTATTTTGAGTCTCCATCCATCTAGTTAGAGGGATAGGGCCAGTCTCCTCAATTGTTGCCCTCTGCACGTGGCTAGATGCCACAGCCTATATCGACTTAGAAACAGCTTCTACAGAGCCAG